GACTTAACTCCTTGCACCACCAGGGAGGCCCCAATTGATCCCCTTTCATAACATAAATGCTAGACAAAAGCAAGTCAAGCTATCCAGAACAGGGAAGAGTAATTAGAAAACTACCTAAACAGAACCCTCTTTACACCTACATTGAAGAACCATAGTTTTAGCCTAGGAAGGAATCTTAGAATTCGTTCAGACCAAACCCTCACCATCTCAGAAGAGGCAGAGGGAATTCAGAGAAGTGATTTATTCAAAGTCTTCTAACTAGAGAGAAACAGATTTAGAGATAGAACTTATTCTTTCATTCACTTGGCCCTTAGGAAGTCCTCCTATGTGTCAGGTAAGGGACAGGAATTGTTGAATTTTTTGCTGGTTCAAGGAGTTATGAGATGGTAACATGAGTGTGAGTAAAAGAGAGGCATAAACTGCTCAAGTCATACTGTACTTTAGTAAAAGAAACAATGCTTAAGACTCCAGTTATATTCCAAAAGGTAGTTTTTGAGAACTCTTGTTTGAGAGTTTTAAGCTAGGGTGTTATGTGAAAAAACAAAGGTGAATCCTTCACCAAAGCTGGATAAATAGGATCCTGGTTTACAGATTTCCTAAGAGTTCTTCCAAGTACTGTATGTCTCTCATCCATACCAGCAACATCAATGCTGTTTATTATCCTTCTTTGATGCAAAATTAATGCATGATTCTTAAATACTGCCAATTGTATAAATAGAAATCAGTGAATTGCTTTCTTTTACAAATTGAGTGTGAAAAGTGAGTTTTTGCAATTGACGCTAAATAAATTCATGTATTAAAAAAGTATGTTTATTTATAATATGATAAATACCTGAACATGGGTTTATTTAAAATAAGCCAAAAAATTGTGGGGTAATCGGAGTAAAATTATAATAAAATGAACTGATAAGTGAAATAATTAATTATAATTGCAGAAATGCCAAGGTCTGAACAAAGAGTGGGAATTTTGTGACTGGCTGTGACTTAAGTCTCTGTCACTGGTCCCTGGAGGCAGCTCAGAACCATGTTGATTCAAGTTCCTACGTGCCCAGTAAGGATTATAAGGATTACTATTTTTTAATCACGGCAACTAGTTTTATTACTACCCAAAACATGGCACAAAACTTGATTGACCATGGTGATCTCTCACACTACTCTTGATTTTAATTGATTTGTTAATAACAGTCATTGTTCTTAAATGATAGAATTGAATGTGAGCTCTAGTCAAAAATTCTTTTAGAGGATTTTGAAGCAACTGTCTAAAATAAAATTTTTAACTCCTTTACCAATTTGTTAAATCTGAAAGTACCCGCATATAAATATATAATCAACCTTGAAAAGTAGGAGTTTTTCACTTTTCCACCTGCTGATTTTACTGGGAAAAATTAAAACAGCAAACACTTGATGTTGAAATGTCAAGGCTAAAATGTCACAGAAACATCAAGTTCAGAAAAGTTGCATCTCCTGTTCTGAGTAATCCAATGATGCAGTCATCAGCATGTCTTTAAGGATGTGGATGTGACCTTACATTGCAGAGTTTCATAGCTGCAACCTTAATATTTGCTGTCACAGTCCTTGAGTCAATACTCATGCCCACACAATAAAGCAAGTTTCCATTTCATTCTTGAATTCACACAGGTAAGTGGGGTGGGTATGAGTTCAAACTCAGAGGTACATTATTACATTAATCTGAGTCCATTAACTTCAGTGCTGTTTCTTTCTGACTTCTTTTGAAATTAAGTAATTCTTTACCTGCTGCCTTCCAGTGAGTGGTAATAACTCAAAAGAGTGCTGGAAAGACTCAAAGACTGGATTACTGCTTGGTCAATGACTATTTCAAGACCCTTACTTCTTCATGCTTCAACTGTTCTTTTTTGTAAATGAAAATCATTACTGGCCCAACTCCACAGATCACTAGAATAAGAACATTTAAAATGCTTTGGAAAAAAAGGCATATGACTTTTTTCACTCTAAAAAGCAAATGATACAAAATAGGAAAATGAACACAAAAAGTAAATAATAGAAGAAATTGGCAATCTTAGACAATGTTGACACTGGCCATTGTCTTCTCTCTTTGTTGTCTAATCTCAAACTCTCCTGCGGTTCCATAGTGGTTAAAGTTTGTGTGCATACTGCCAAATGCATTCTTTAGGATCCAACAATACAGGGAAACATGCAGGGATATAATTCACCACCAAGAAACAGAATTTCACTTCTATGTCTGCTTCCTCTCCCTACTATAAACTCTGATATTTGATGTGAGCACAAAGCCTCATTTGTTTTGGTGCAAATATCCAGATATGTGGGTGGACACATTCTACCAAGGAATGTCATCAACGTTCATATCTGTAGATTCCACAGCATGAAGCATCTGACCAATTGCTTCTCTCAGTGTAAGTGTGAAGCACTTTTCCTACCTGAAAGTAAATTACTTCCACAACCACCCAACCTAGTCCCCCATGCACAGAGCCAGAACCATATAAAAGGCTCTCTGCTGGGTACTGTGGAGAATGCAAAGATGACTAAATGAGTTCTGGCCCTTGATAGGAACTTCACAGGCCCACATTCTTAGATATAGATCTTAGGCTAAGTTCTCCTCCAAAACAGACTGTTTATCTTTCTGTCCTCAGGGCTTAGTGATGTAGTTTGGCTAAATGAATGAAAGAATAGTTGAATGTTCTAATGAAGATGTTTCCTGTTCTAGGATGTTTACCCACAAGAAATCATTTCTAGTCTCTTCACAACTGATCCCAACTGCTTAAGAACAGTAAAAGGATGGAAAAGGGAAAGAAGGAGCTATCATAGAAACAGATTAAAGAACAAGACAGACAAATGGAAACTGAGGAGGAATAATTTGGGAAAAGGGAAAAGAAGCACTGTTTAGAAGGAATCAGGAAAAGGAAATTTCTGCAGAAACCTTTAGAAGAATTCAGTTGATACTAAATAATTAGAATGAAACAGATAATAACCTTTGTGGGAAGAGAAAAAGAATTAGATGGAAACAGAATTAATTAAAGATTAGAAAGGGGAACACATGTTTCCTCGTGCTTCCAGCAAGTGCCAAGCCACTTGGGCCAAGGATGGAATCTTACATAATGTTTGGAAGAATTAAGCATCTCATTTGGACAAGGAAGGATGTGAACATCATGGGTCATAAGATCTCTGGCTACTTGCTGCCTTCATTACTTAAGGCAGCAATTCTCTTTTTGATTTCCAGACCTCTTTATAAACATTCTTTAACATTATCAAGGATTTCAAAAAGCTTTAGTTATGTGAATTATATCATAGTATTTATCATCATTACATATAAAAACTGAGAAATTTTCAAAATAATATTTCAAATCAAGACAAGTTTCTTGAGTTTCTACACAGACTAAAAGTTCAAGATTTCAACATATAATAGTTAGATATTTAAGAATAAGGAAATTATAGCGATCCTGGCAGATGTGACCAACGATAGCTAATAGGGACCTCGCTGGGTGGCGCAAGGGGTTGAGTCTCACGCAAGCACTATGAAGCAATCTGCAGCCACTGCAGCATGTGTTCCATCCCCCGCCAGGGAGGTGACCCACATGGCGCAGCAGACCTCTCCTGTCTCGGCCGCTGCTCCCCTCAGCAGTGTATTTCATTAGTCTGCCTGTTCTGTTCCCCAGTCTGTCTCTGGTGAATCCTCTCATCCGCCAACACCTCTGGCCTGTAGCCCAGTTCTTGTATGCATAAATAAATAAATCTTTATTTTAAAAAGATAGCTAGGGCCTCCCCGGTGGCGCAGCAGTTGAGCGCTGGGTTGCGAAGCTGCCCGCAGCCTCTGCGGAGCCGGTTCGATCCCCCGCTGCTCCCCGGCTGCTCCCCGGCCACCAGAGGAGGGTCCCGCATGGTGCGCAGACCTCTCCTGCCGCCCCCTGTTCCCTCAGCAGTGTACTTCGGTCCTTCTGCCTGCTCTGCTCCCTGCTCTGGCTCTGGTGAATTCTCTCACCCTCCCACGCTTCTGACTGTACCCTGTGCTTATATAAATAAATAAATAAATAAATAAATAAATAAATCTTTAAAAAAAAAAGATAGCTAATAAAAGGTAGGAAATACTGAGAATAAAATTAAAATCTCTATGAAAATGTACATATTGACACTTAAACCTGCTATCATAGAAACCACAAGACTACACATGCAGGCACTCTATAAACACAGCGATGACATCACTGAACATCAAATAGCCTCTGGAAATTTCCACTGCGCACTCACGAGAGAAAGAGAATGAAAAAAGCAAATCAAATCTTGTAATCATAATGGAAATAGTTTTCACCCCTTGAAAGAATCCTGGAGGCGTCCCGGAACTGGAGGACCACGTTGAGAACCAATGTGATCTATTAATTTATTTTCACGTCACTTCCCATTTCATATTACTAATAAAGTGTATTTTCTCTGATGACTATTGTGTGCTCATTCCTGGATCACCTGCTGAACTACGATGACCTAGAGGAACGACAAGACCCTTAGCCTAATAAAGCAGGAGGCCGGGGCTCGACGTGTCAAATGCGCTTGGCTTAGCCCTGGGAACTGACATTGTTCGCTGAATTCGCAGACGACTCCTGATCTAGAAACGAATCCAAAACTTTGCCAAGGCGGGGCCAGCTCTGGCGGCAGGCGGCGGGGCCAGCCAGGGCTGAGCGCCGGAGAGGTGGCAGCCGCGAGTGAAGCGCGGGCTCCCCAGGACGCCTGCCAACCCGCCGCGCGCCTCAGGTAGGCGGGCCCCGGGAGGAGGGGCGCGGCCAGGTGCTCCGCAGGTACCCGCCGCCTCCCTTCCCCACTGCTCCGCTCCGCAGTCCCCCGGGATCCAGGCAGGAACCCGAGCCGCGCGCGTCCGGTGCCAGACCCGGGCGCCTGCTTCGCCGGTGCGCGGCCCTGCCCGGAGTGTCGCTGAGATCTGGGGGCACCGAAACCGAGGGCCTGGCGGTCTCAGGGACCACCCGACGACGGGGCTCTGTCCCGGGAGCATCTGGAACATGCGCCGGGAGCTGCAGGTGCGGGACGCGGAGGCTGGGCCCCGGCGGGGAACGGGTTACTCGGACGGGGCCTCCTGGGCGGACGGAGTCGGAATCCCACGAGAGCCAGAGGGTCGCCTGCGGCCACAAGTGCCCGCTCAGCCATCTGCCGAGTCCGGGGGCGCGCGCGGCATTTGTCCCCAGGCGCTCTTGGGGCCGCTTTCTTGGCGCGGGTCGGCCCTGGTGACCGAAACCACGCTCGGGCGCAGCCGGTGACTCAGTTCTCAGAAACTCCAGGGCTGAGCCAGGGGCTTCTTTGGACTGTTTTTTTGATTTGTTGCTATTTGTTAGTTTATTTGACAGTTGCCAGACTATGTTTACGCTTCTGGTTCTACTCAGCCAACTGCCCATAGCTACCTTCGCGTTCCTCCTTACACAAGAAGTCCGGGGGAGTCCAGGCATGCGGGAGAAGGTAAGCGTGCTTTTCAGGCCTCCAGAAAACCCCCTTGCGAACTGCAGCCTCGTCTTATAGATCGCAAACGAGAAAGTGTGCTATGTGAAATTACATGCCCCATCAATCACAGAAGCACTAAAATATCCTTTAGTTTAATTTGCGGCCTATTGGTAATGTGGTTTGTTGTGTTAAGTGTAATTTACACAAATTTATTTCTGCGAGTTTCTTTGATAAATATGTGAAGACCTGGTTTGTGGTTAACGATTTCAACTTCTGAAAATCAGAGAGGGCGTTCTGTCTAGAGGAGACTATTGGTAATTATAATTATAATTACTCCTTCCTGGAAAGATGGCATACAGGGAGCCTGAAGTCTAGTCCGGACTTGTAGTGAGACCCTGGGCAAGCTACTTGCTTAACTCCTTTCAACCTGAATTTTTTGCTGTTGTTGTTGTAAAATGATGGAGATGGGGAGCGGATTGGTTCTGAGGTTCTTATTGATTTTATTTTTTTTTAAAGATTTATTTATTTATGCATATAAGAACTGGGGTACAGCCCAGAGGTGTGGTGGGTGAGAGGATTCACCAGAGACAGAGTGGGGAACAGAACAGGCAGATTGACTGAAATACACTGCTGAGGGGAGCAGTGGGCTAGTCAGGAGAGGTCTGCAGTGCCATGAGGGAGCTCCCTGGCAGGGGATCGAACTCAGGCTGCAGTGGCTGCTAATGGCTTCATAGGTTGTGTCTTAACCCCTTGCACCACCAGGGAGGCCCTCCTTATTGATTTTAAATTATCTGATTATCTGAATAAAGAATGATGATTATCAGAAAAGTAGATTTGGGGCTTGCTAAGCTTACAAGTTCACATCTTATGTGTTGGTTCCTGTTTCAAAAACAGACTAGTTCCTGTACACATTTAAAAAACTAATCTAGAAAAAAGCAAGGACAGCACACACACAAAAGGGTTTTGTGTGTGTGTGTGTGTGTGTGTGTGTGTGTGTGTGACCTTCGCTGGGGATCGAACTGGCGCTGCAGAGGCTGTGGACAGCCTCGCAACCCAGTGCTCAACCGCTGAGCCATCAGGGGAGGCCCCACAAAAAGGTTTTGACTTTCAGCTTTCTCCTATCTAGCACCCTACTAGTGCCAGGATTCGGGATCTACTTCCCATATTTTCCTGTCCCTTATTCTTTCTCATTAGATCCTACTCTGAGCTCATTTCATTTGGGGAGGATCTATTACACTAATAATCCTTGATGACTTATTAATCATTAATACAGCTTAGTATGTTAAGACTTCCTATGGGTGTGTGTGTATGTGTGTGCACGCGGGTGTGTGTGGTTTAAGATAGCGCAATATCTTAACCTAAAGGACTCAAATCCTAATGGAAGAATACTAAGTAATTGGATAGGCTAGTTAGTGTCATAGGGAGATTTTGAAAGTAGATTCTTCTTAGGACCACCCAAGCACACTCATATATAAAGTTAATACTCATGCTCAGTGGGACCAAATGGTGATCCCCAAAGTGCTTGTGAGAGTGTTCATTCACATTATACAAGCATAAAAGACATTCTCAAGGATATCACCAACTGTGGAAAGAATGTGCACATAGAAGGTTGGTGATATCTGTGGGAGATGTAAATAAGGGCATATATATATATATATATATATATATATATATATATATATATATACTTTTTTGAAGATTTATTTGTTTATGCCCACAAGAACTTGGGTATAAGCCAGAGGTGCGGGAGTGAGAGGATTCACCACAGACAGAGTGGGGAGCAGAACAGGCAGATCTACTGAAATACACTGCTGAGGGGAGCAGCGGGCAAGACAGGAGAGGTCTGCTGTGTCATGTGGGTTAGCTCCGCAGCTGGCCGGGAGTCAAACTCTTGCTGTAGTGGCTGGCAGTAGCTTGATGGTTCTGTCTTTAACCCCTGTGCCACCAGGGAGGCCCTATATATTTTTTAAATTGATTTATTAGTACATACTATGTGTTAGCTATGAGTTCCTTCATGCTATGTGCTGATAATGCAAGGCTATGATCCCAACCTGGAGGACTTCTCCATCTGGTGGGGGAGGCAGGGTGTAAAGAGATAGTCTTTATAAACTATGAAAGAGGTAGGAACAGAATGTTCAACAGCAAAGAAGAAAAGTGAGCAGCAGTATCTTTGCCTCAGAAGAGTTATATGGCACATAAGCCAATTTTCTCTATCTGCAAATGAGATATAATAAATGGAGATAAGAAAAGCAACTAGGAAAATACGACATCTTCAGCTAAATTCCGATAAAGCCCAAGGGTGGAGTTCAAATGACTCAAAAGGGAATTTATTTGGAAAACATGGGAAAGCAGAAGAAAGGAAAAGAATAGAATATCTGTGTTGGTAGATTTTTTTTTAAAGATTTATTTATTTATGCATACAAGAACTGGGGTGTAGGCCACAGTTGTGGGGGAGGTGAGAGGATTCACCAGAGAACAGAGTTGTGGAGCCGAACAGGCAGATCTACTGAAATACACTGCTGAGGGGGAGCAGTGGATGAGACAAGAGGTCTGCTGCACCATGAGAGTTAGCTCCCTGAATGGCCAGGGATCAGACTCATGCTACAATGGCTAGTGATAGCTTGATAGCACTGTCATAACCCCTGCACCACCAGGGAGGCATCTGTGTTGGTAGACTCGAAATGGCAGAATGTACAGACAGCTTTCTAGGAAGGTCTCCTGACAGGAGAATAGAGATGGTAGGAGAATCAGAGGGGCAGATACAAAAGAGCGAAGGTCAGTGCATTCTCAGCGTTGGCCAGAGGGAAATAGGAATTCTTACCAGAAGTTCAGGAAATGGAGGTGCTGGGAAGTTTAATTCTTTCAATTAATTCAGGTTTACTTAGAACAGAAATAGTAAGGAAGAGTAAGGGACAGTATTTCTCCAGAGGTCATAGGTGAGAAATCGTTTGATAAGGCACTGAAGGTGGCTGAATTGGAACTTTCACACCAAGGAAGTGGCAAATAGCTGGTGGAAGGCACAGGCAATGCAGGGGTGAGGAGTCTTTTATTGGAATAAATATTTCAGGGGGCCTCCCCAGTGGCACAAGGGGTTAAGCACCGCACTATGAAGCAATCTGCAGCCTTTGCAGCAGGAGTTCGATCCCCAGACAGCCAGGGAGCAACCCACATGGCGCAGCAGACCTCTCCTGTCACGCCCGCTGCTCCCCTCAGCAGTGTGTTTCAGTCAGTCTGCCTGTCCTGTTCCCCACAATGTCTCTGGTGAATCCTCTCCCCCTGCATCTCTGGCCTGTACCCCAGCTCTTGTATGCATAAATAAATAAATCTTTAAAAAATTAATATCATTTCAGGAATAAAAATGCTTCTGTCTTACTTTCCTTCGAAAGTGAAAGTAGCTTTATTGACTCACATATGGAGGGCAGGGTGTGGTGTTTTTACAACTCAGATAACTTACTTGAACAGATGACTGTCATATTTGGTGCTTTTTTAGCAATAAAATTTAGAGATCTGTAAATATCTGAGAAGGAGC